AGCGTCGCGGCGCCTTTGGTGCTGCCGAAGGATGAGAGAAACCAAACCGTGTCTGCTGGTTGCTGTCCGGGATGAAACGGAAAGTGCAACGGGGCCGGGGCTCGTGCCTCGGGGGAATAACGAGGCTTTTTTGTGAAAGCGAGTTGCAAAAAGCTTTGTGGGGGCCTCCCGAGATACGAGATGAACGTCAGAAAGTGACATAACTTGATGTGAAGTCAAGAACAAATATAATATATAAATAAATATAGTATTTATTAATATAAACATCTCCGGTTTAACGGATGTAGGGCATAAAGCTGCAGGTATCTTTAGCAGCCGTGGTGCAGGTGGAGCATGGGGAGAAGCAGCTGCCGGAAAGGGCGGCGATTTGTTCTGTGCTTTGGCAATGCTGCACGTGCGTGGGGTTTGAAAGGGGCAGCCCTCAAACTCGAGGACTTTCTCCTGCCTCGTTCAGAGAACGAGACACGCTTGGCGTGTCTTTCAGCTTTGATGTAAGGAACAGGGACAACAACGTGCTGGTCAAAAACAAAAGAAGGGGATCGACAAGGGTGACGGGTTGATTCTCTGCAGTTTCTGTTGAGATCGCTGGTTTATTGGGGTTTATTCTGTTCGTTCTTCCCAGGGTGTAAGCAGTTTCAGACGAACAGGCTCCACTTAACCAAAACAATGTTTGCAGATTTGGACTATGATATCGAGGAAGATAAGCTGTGAGTATTTCGCTTGTCTTTTCCCAGTTTTTACTAACAGTAGAAATAGTCTCTGCAGCCAAGACCTAATGGGAGTGGATAAATTTACCTGCTCCTGACGCTGTGTGCTGAAGAGTCAGACTTGCTGTTCGGTCCTGATTTCTTGCTCCCTCTGGGGACTGGCGATGAGGCGTCGCTGTGCTGGTCAGCAAAGGAGAGCGCTTGTCGCTCTGCAGTGACTACCCTGCGGTTCTGATTGCAAAGCAGTGCTGACTGATCTCGTGTGAATTAGTGACCTTAGCCAGGAAAGGAATATTGATCACCGGAGAAAGAGAGTAAGAGGCAAGAAGAAGCGGAGAGAAACTCTGGACTCCTTGGGTCTGTTTGGAGGAGAACGCTGACATTTCCTGAGCACGTAAAAGGTTGGATGAGATTAGCAGTTAATTCAACGTGGAGCACTTGTCTTGCCTCTCATGGGGGCTCTGCAAGTTTTCCTCTCGCCCCAGCACTAAGAGCAAACGAAACGCTCTGTACAGACACGTAGCGTTTCCTCCTCAGTGCCTAGCGGTGGATGAGGGTGCCTCTCCCACCTCTGACCCTTGCACGCAGTCTCAAAAAAAAGATAGCCCAGAAGGTCTTTCCGCTGGCCCGTGCCGATAGAATCACAGAAACCAACCGCAGAGGTTGGAAAAGACGCCTGAGACCATCAAGTCCAAGACTCCGTGGCGGAGATGATGTCATGAACTCGAACGTGCCGTGCCCGTTGCGTTTTCCGTTTGTATCAGCTCAGATACCAGGGTTGTTTTCGTACACGCGCAGCGCTGCCTGCCCCGGGCAGTTACTCATCCCCCCTTTCTCATTCCAGGGGGATCCCCACTGTACCTGGGACAGTGACCCTGAAGAAGGACTCGCAGAACCTGATCGGGATCAGCATTGGGGGAGGAGCTCAGTACTGCCCCTGTCTCTACATTGTCCAGGTGGGCACCTAGGGAGGAAGAATAAACCGTCGCTGTAAAAGGCCCGAGGGATGGGAAGCGTGGAGAGTCCGATGCTGTTTGGTTTTTTCAAAGTGGGAGACATCATCTCGCTTTCCAGTGAATAAGGTTCCCTCACCCTGGTACCTGACAGGTGTGGAAGGATTAAATTCAGACTTCTGAAATTATCCTTCTCCTTGGAGAGCGTGTTAGAATTCACAGGGGAACAGTGTGACGTTCTCAACATCAAGAAATCCTGCGCTTGAGGAGGTACGTCCTGGAGGCAAGAACTTCCTGAGAGACCCAGATGGTCAGCCCACCTTTTAGTTAGGAGAGGGGGAAAACTGCAGCTTCACCGTGAACACAATACAGCCGAGTTAAATAGGAGGAATGTAATTGTCTCTCTTTTGTTCTTCAGCCCTGCATTCACCTTTCTCTTCCTCTTGGTTCCAGACTACCTGTGCTCTTTCTCCTCTCCGCTAGGTGTTCGATAACACTCCAGCAGCCGTAGATGGCACCGTGGCAGCTGGTGACGAAATCACAGGAGTGAATGGGAAATCCGTCAAAGGGAAGACCAAGGTGGAGGTGGCCAAGATGATACAGATGGTAAAGGTGAGAGGTAGGAGGGGGCCGCTGGAGCTTTTGGGTCATAGCTTGCACTTTCCTGTCCATTGGTAAAGGAAGCCACTTCTCCTTGCTTCCGGCACAGCAGTTTTGGATTTGCTCTTTCTGCAGGGAGAAGTGACGATACACTACAACAAGCTGCAGGCCGACCCGAAGCAGGGCAAGTCTCTGGATATCGGTGAGACCGGTTTCTTTCTTCCTAGAGCGTTAAAACAACACGGAGGGGTGAAAGATTGGTCCCAGCTAAAACTGAAGTAAAATTCTGGTTCCCTTCTTCCTCTTCACTCAGTCATTTTCAAATGGATACTGGTCAAAGAGAATTACAGGTTTAAAAAAATCTTCCCTGACTTCTTGAAGTAGTCTTGAAAGTTAAATTCAGGCTTGACTGTTGGTGCAGGAGGCTCGCTTTTCTGCGCTGTGTTTAGCATGGATGATGAAACTCAACTAGATAATAATTTAATTTATTGTTAACACATGTAAGTTATGCTGACCTATTGAGATTTTTCAGCTGTACACAGAAATGTGTCTATCGAAAAACATCGGTTGCAGTTTCTCAGCTTGGAGAACAGTGATGGAATACCTGTCTACACTGAGTTTTGTACAACCGAGAGCTTTATAGGAGAGAGAGGAGGCTTTACTTCTAAAACGAAGTGTGTTTTGAACTAAACCTACACAGCTGTGTCCTTTATATGGTCTGCCTTTCTCACTTTCCTAAACAAACCGTCTGTTCTTTTTGCTTTCATTTCCTTTCGTGGTGATTAAGGTGCTAATGAATTGACAGGGGTTCAGGAAAATCTTGAGGAGTGAGATTTCTGGGGAAACAGAAGTGTGGTGAGAATACAGTGTTTTTCAGAGGTGCTGAACACTGTGGCTTCAGCTGGGTTCTTGGGAGCTGCAGGCTCATGGCATCCCTGCAAGTTTGCCTCTAAATAAACGTGTCTGAGTCACCTGATTCCAAAGAGGGCAGGACTGCCTCTAGTAATCTGCAGGGTGTGACCACCAAAGACAGAAATTAATCGTATCAAGGGGTAACAAAAGGTTGAACTGAGGTTCAAAAGATAGAAGTAAGCAAAGGGGTAGCTTTGAGCATTATGTCCTATTTGTTTTGCTTTCAGCCTCGTCTCCTGACTTCAGCTGAAGTGATGCAGCAAGTAGCACAAGCAAAGTTTAGTTCCAAATACCACGATAGGTCGCTTATAGCAAAGTGATTGATTGGAATAGTCTTCCAAAAGAAGTGCTGGAGCTCTGTTGATTGAAGGGTGTAGGATGTGAGACAGAACAGACAGGCAAGACAGAAGATGTGCTGTGCGTGGCTGGACTGAACGCGTAGTTGATACGGAATTCTTTTTCTGCTCACTGCTTCCAAAGTGCGTTGAGTTCCGTTTATTCAGTGCCTGAGAAACCAATGAGGTGTGCTGGTGAGCTTTTCATGCCCGTATCAGTGACCCTGATCCTGGTTTGCAACCCTCTTTTGGCCTTTAGTGTTGAAGAAGGTAAAGCATCGACTGGTAGAGAACATGAGCTCGGGGACAGCGGATGCCCTGGGGTTGAGCCGAGCCATACTGTGCAATGGTGAGTGTTGTCCAGCAGGACGTTTTCTTAAGGGAACGCTTACCCTCTTGTGCTTACCTAGTTTTTGTTGTTACTTGCATGCTCCCCATTATTCCTTCGTAATTCTTTCCTTCTGCTGTGCCTCACTGCTGTGATTGCCTCTGCCCTCCCTGAGTGATATATCCTGTCGCTGGGGCCACGTAAATGTTAGCCAAGGTCAAATTAATTTAAAGTGGGGACCCACTTAGTGAATGCCAATAGGTGATGACCCCACACTGTTAATAAAAGTTTGCAGTTATTTTAAAAGCTTCCCATGTTGGACCAGGGGACGGGCATTAAGAGGTGAGGGAAGTTTGAACCAAAGATGCGGTGTTTTTCCAGTTGATCAGCTCGTAACCGTGTCCTGGATTTGACTGTTGTAATTCTGTATTCTGATTCTTGTTTCCGTTTAGATGGACTGGTGAAGAGATTAGAGGAGCTGGAGAGGACTGCAGAGTTATACAAAGGTATATAAACCTTTAGACACCAGATGGGAGGGAAGGATGCCTCCACTATGCTTCAATGAAATGAGTTAAATGTTTTTTCTGTCTTCCATCACAGGCTTGACAGAGCACACCAAGAGTCTTCTCAGGGCCTTCTTTGAGCTATCCCAGACACACAGAGGTAAAGAATCTCGAGTGAAGGGAGCAGGAATCTTTGACTTTCAGTTTCAGGTGTCTTAGTCAGCACTTAGATGTGCGGTTCCCTCACCCAAAGAAAACTAAGCGTTGCAGAAATGGGCAGGGAAGGGCTGCCCTCCTGGCTTTAGCTGTCACGGTGCTATCACAGGCCCTGTCTTCTACATGAGACGTTGAAGAAATGCCCTGCCGACTTCTGATTTTTAGGGAATATGTAGCATCGTTCCCCAGCTGAGTGCAAGGTTATGGGAAGGAGTTGTAATACTGGAGGCAAGATTATTCTCCAGGGCCAGCTTCTTTCATCTGTTGGTATTTATTACCCTCATCCAGCATTTGGAGACGTTTTCTCTGTCATTGGTGTACGGGAGCCACAACCAGCCGCCAGTGAAGCCTTTGTGAAATTTGCTGATGCCCATCGCAACATTGAGAAGTTTGGGATTCACCTTCTGAAAACAATTAAGCCGGTAAAGAATTTAACCATAGGGGTAAAGGGTCTGGAGAAGAGGGGAATCTAGAAAGACACAAGCCTGTCTTTGAAGGTCTTAAAGATCACTCATTGTGGGGAGAACTGCCTTTGTCTGCTTTCCTTCAGGGAACTCTCTTCAAAAAGAACCTGAGAGGTAACGTAGGGGATGTATCCATCTCATCCCTTTGACTTTTGTACATGAGTATATTCCTCTTCTTTTCTTTTGGGGATGAGGGGGTAGTTTGATCAGTGTAGTCCCTGGACCCCTTTCCCTGATGTTGGTACCCGTAATTTAAAAGAGATCACTAAATTGGAAAGCGTTTAGATAAGCAGTCCAGGAACAATTTAATGATGTCAATCAATATATTTGAGCGAGAGTCTCCAGGGGATCTGTCCACTTAGTTTAGTGAAGAGAGTATTAAATGTTGATTTGAGCACCGCTTTCAGTGCCACGTCGGATGGACAGTGTGGGATAGCGGGCCTGTGAATGGGGGAGAGCGGTTTCCAGGACCAGTTGAAAAGGAAAGGAGATGAGTGAGAAGAAGATGGATTCAGACTAGAAGCGAGGCTTGCATTTCTGACACCGGAGCCACTTGCTGGTGACAGTAATGGATGCGCTAAACCGTGGCAATTCTGAGTCAAGATCACACATTTTCTTCCAAATATGCCTTAGTTCAAAAAAGAGTTAACTCGAGGCAGTCTCATGACCCACGCCGGCTGGAGGGTTGCCCTTGATGAGCTGTAGTCATGCATTCAGCAACAGGATGTTTGCCTTGCAGATGCTCACTGACTTGAATACGTATCTGAATAAAGCCATCCCTGACACAAGGCTGACTATCAAAAAATACCTGGACGTCAAGTTTGAGTATTTGGTGAGCTGCTTGCCTTTTTTTTTTTTCTTTTTTTTTTTTTTTTTTTAGTGCTGGTTGAAATTAAGTTTCACAGAATCACAGCCTGAGGGTCACATACAGCCCATACGATCACATGTCCATCCTTCCACAGCCCGTGCAACAGTGCGTTATTTTTTCTGGTTCTTTGTCTACTGCCGGATTACTCGGATTCAGACATTGCTTTTAACCTAATAGTTCTCACTGGTAAGAAAGATCTCCCAGAATCCAGATGACTTATCTTCCACCTGACTGAATTAATGTCCTTATTTATTTTTAAAGAGTTCCTATGCAACTTAACACTCTTGAACTCCCCTAAATAGCTCTCCTGCCCATATTTTTTAGGTAGTTTTGGATAGTCCTTCTTTAGCCAAACTAAACAAATGTCAAATCATATTTGCTTTCATTTAGACCGTGCCTTTTTTTTTTTTTCCTCCATTCCACTCACCCCTTGTTTTCTACACCCAAAAAGGGGAGGGTTGTTAAGTGCATCTGTTCTATAACTGTAGGAATCTATTTCCTTTTACCAGTTGAGAGAACTATTTGGAGCTGCAGCCCTAAGGCAAGTGAATATGGCAGCATCTCTTCCCATATCAATCCTTCCCAAAATTCATCTTGGTTTGGGGTTCTTTTTTTCCCTCTTTATTTATTCCCTGCTCATACCTTTCTGGTACTGTGTGTTCCCAAATGGTAGATGAACACAGGACTTTCCTCTTACTTAAGTTATACTTATCTAAAGTATTTGCTCCTGTAATAGAAATACTAAGTGCCTTCTCTCTCCCCCGACATTTTCTCTCCCCATCTTTCTCTAAATAGATTTTTTTCCCACCTGGGATGTTTAATATACTCTGATCCCGCTGTGCTTTCCCCAGTGTCCCTAGCTCCAGCATTGAAGGAAGGCTTGAAATGGTACAACCCTGTGGCTGTGGGTAATGGTGAAATTGCTTCTAATTCTTAATATTTCCTTCTTGTTCTGCTTTTTTTTTTTTTTTTAATTTTAAATCCTGCAAAGTCTTACTGCCTGAAGGTCAAAGAGATGGATGATGAAGAGTACAGCTGCATTGTGAGTACCAGTACTGTGGCAGTCACAACTGCATACTCTGTTTCTGCAGCTTCCTTGTGCACGCTGCCTTATAAATAAATGCAAAAGCACTTCTTTGCCTGTGTGCATCCACACTAGTGAATACATCCTAAAAATTGCATGCATTTGTTCTTAATGTATTAGAAATTGGAGATCCTTAAATGCTACCTAGAAAACAATGCCAATAACTGTCACGAATCACTGGTGCTGTGGAATAGTAGAAGGAACAGACATCTCCTGTGCAGCTTGTTTGCTCAGTGGTTGCCTGTCTCAGTGTTTAAGTAATATTAGCTTGTGTAAGGAGGATTAAGGTGTTATCTTCACAGATTCCATTTGTGTGTAGTGTACAGCTTATCATTAATTCTGGACTTGTTTCTGAGAAGTGGAGGCTTAGCTTCTCTAGCAAAACACATGGGAAAGCTGCATTTGTAGTTGAGGAAAATTGATTAAAGGATCTCTCTAACGGTAGGGGTTTTGGTAAAAATAAGTAATTTAAAATCAGAAGACTTCCGAAAAAACCCTGGCAACTTAAAGTAAAAAAGTAATAGTTTGCTGTCTGTTTTAGAGTTTTACAACTGTAATCCTTAGCTGCTCTGTTAAAGGTAGCTAATGGTGTACCCTACATGCTGAATTTCCCTGCATAAAAGTAAGATCTTGTTTTATCCTAGGTATTGATCTCAGAGCAGGGATTTGAATTTTTGGAATGCCTAGTTCCCAGTGCCGAGAAGGAGTGAAAGTTTCCTAACACAACATTTAATTATGTCTTTCCTGATAAATGGGAAGGAAAGAATCACAGTCTTGCCCAGCAGAGTAACATCTTTGGGTTTTGGCACATGCAGCGTGCATTACCAAGCCGTAGTCCCTAACACGGATTTTTATCTATGTGATGTTTACAGGTGCAAGAGAAAAACGCTGTTTTGCTGACAGCCCCAACCCCTTTCTCTCAAAATTATTTTGTGGGACAACGTATAGGTCCCTCCCTGCTGGTTTCCAGCATGAAAATGGTTGTAGATACCACAGGATTCTCTGTGTAGATGTACATAATGTGTTACACGTATAGGGCGAAGCTTGCAGAGAAGGACAGATTTTTTTGTGTGACTGATATAAATTAATATATCCCTCAGACTTGTTTGTTGCATAGTGCCTGCCTTAATAGTTCAGGTAAGAAGCCATTCCACTTCTCCGTGCTTGAAAGGTGCCCGTCCTCCTGTTTTTGCTTAGTACTGATGCTTTTCTTTACCGTGGTTGATGTGTATTTGGCCTTCAAAACAGCCCCAGTGACTCCCAGCTTTCCCCATTCACTGGCCTGGTTTAAGCTTGTTGGCGTGGCTCAGCGTTCCTTACATTTCATGCTTCCCGACTGCGGTTCCGGCGAGCTTCAGAGGGCTGTAATAACCCAGGGTCACTGTGAGTCCGCATTGGTAGGTGAACTGTGTGTACGAGCACTGTCGTGGGAGTCTAAAACGGCGCCGTGTTTTTGGCAGGCTCTGGGTGAACCCCTCTACCGGGTCAGCACTGGGAACTATGAATACCGCCTTATCCTACGTTGCCGGCAGGAGGCTCGCACACGCTTTGCCAAAATGAGGAAGGACGTGCTAGAGAAAATAGAGCTCCTGGACCAGAAACACGGTGAGTACCACTGCTGTGTCCAGCACCAGAAGGGGTCAGGCAGACGTGGCTCTGGCCTTCGTGCTCCTCCTTCATCTCAGCTCAGAAGTCTTTGCTGAAGAGCCCTTCTGTGGCTGTGCCTGAAACGTCTGCCCTCGGGGGCGAGAAGGGATTAATGCACAGGAGCCTGTATCTAATGCTGCTGAGGGAGGCTTGGTGACAGCCTTCAGGCTCTGCTTGTGAAGGGGTTTTTCGCCTGATTTGTTCCTAACTTGTCTCCACGGCAGTGCAAGACATCGTGTTCCAGCTCCAGCGTTTCGTCTCCACGATGTCCAAGTACTACGACGACTGCTATGCCGTGCTCCGAGATGCAGATGTCTTTCCCATTGAGGTGGACCTTGCTCGCACTACTCTCAACTATGGGCAGAAGGACGTGTACACGGATGGGACAGAAGAAGAAGAAGGAGGAAGCGAGAGAGAGGGTAGCGGGAAGGAGGACGCAAATGGTGAAAAGCTCATTGATGATGCCTGAGCGTGCCAGCACGGCCGGAGGAGAGACTTTGCAGACTGTTATAAAATCGTGTATTTCACATGGCGATTCATCCTCCGTGACTTCTGTATATGTCCAGCCTGGGATTCCTCCTCTGCTTTGGGTGGGGGGCGGCTGGTTGGATTGGGACCAGCCTCTGCTTTCCCCTCTCTTCCCTTGCTTGTTTGCCTGGATATTCCTTTTTCCCCCCAGAGACTTCTGCTGCCCAACTCGGGTACTGAGGTGTGGGGAGGAAAATCCCCGACCACACCGCCGTGTGACTCTGTGTGCCGACAGGACGCTGCCGAGCATGTGGGGTGCACCACTCCCCTCTGGCACGTGGAAGCCGGTTAAACACCTGGAGATGATTATGAATGGTGAGAACAGCCCCCTCTGTCCTCCCCTTGTGCTATGGGAAAGTGTCAGCACCAGCGTTGTTTTCTTCACCGCACTGCTCGCTGTCTTCAAGCTTCCCATTCGCTGGCCTGGTTTAAGCCTCTTTTGCCTCTTCTGTCTGTCCCCGTGGGCTGCAGGACTGATTTTTGCAGGACGATCACTCCCACCGCTCCCAGCTCAGTGCGCCACTGTTTTTAAGAAATAGGAGCAAGTCTGAACTGGTGCCTAGAACCAGTGGTGGTAGGTACATCTGATCTCAGCACCCCCCAGCCAAGGGGCTGGTGTGCTGGGCTGCTGCAGCCCTGCTGCAAAGATCGGGCAGTCTTTTCCCCTGGTTACCGTCCTCTCCACAGTCCCTGAGCTCTGGCACAGCTGGCACCACGTGCACACTCCATAGCTACTCCTCAGGGCTGGAATCCTGCCCTTCCCTGCGGGAACGAGGGACCCGGCTCAGGAAAGAGCTCTCTGACTCGGCAGAGATGCTGAGGCGAACGTGGCTTGCCTGAGGCAGACAGGTTCCTGGGAATGGCAGCAAAGCTGAGTGCATTTCTCGCCCGTCGTTCTCCTCTGTTAGGGCTCCTTGCGGCGGACAGGAACCGAACACGCTTCATGAGGATGCGCAGCCAGTCCTGCACGCTCTTTCCTTGTGCGGGTGCCAGGGGGAGCCACCTTAGAACCGCAAAGGAGATGTGCCATCCTTCGAGTGGAGAGGAGAGACAGGAAGCCTTGTGGAGAGAGGAAGACATGGCCTGTAGGCAGAGGCTTTGAGATTTTGTAGTGCCGTAGGTGAATAGGGTACCACCCCTACCGCCCCCTGCTCTCCTCTCTACACAAGCATTTTGTGCTGCCTCTGGGCCAGCCAGAAGCAGCAACCCGCATCCCGTTCCCCAGCACATGGGAAGGAGGGAAAGGAAGATCAAGGTAAGTGAGGCTGCTTCCTTCCTCCTTCCTTTTCTCCCTCCATCCCTGCAGGGTGATCCAGGATGCAGATGGCACTTTCTCTTCTAGCGGGCAGCACAACTGCGAGGAGTGGTGTGCTGCTCAGAGGCCAGGGTTTTGCCTTCTCTGTCATTACATTCTAGTGGCAGTGAGAGAAGTTATTTAAGGGCATTAATTTATGATTGTTTGGTTTGGTTTGTTTTTTTCTCTTTGATTTGTTTTTGGAGCTTCGTCATCTCTGTGGGTGCCTGGAAGAAAGCCACCCATGGCCAAGCTGCTCTGGAAGATTTAAACGGATTCTGATGTACTGACGGTTGTCTCTAATAAAGAAAAATGTGACATTTCGTTTCCTGTCCTTCGTGGGTTTTCTTTAGAGATTTGTTTGCTCATCCTCCACTGGTTTTAATCTTCAAATATAATGATGGGAAGATGTGCTGGCCATTTTTTTTCCTGCTCATACTGATGGATAATCTCTATGCCAAGCTGCGGGGGTCACTGCAGCACAGGCTTCGGGAGGAAGAGGGTAATAAATGCTACAGCAAGGCCAGGCCTCCGTGTCATACCAGCTCCTCTGTATCTTGGCTTCCCAGGGGACCACCAGCCTTGTAAAGCCCACCCGTGGCTTCAGTCCTGCCCGGTGGCATCCTTGCACCCCTCCAGGGCCAGCTTCTCCACACAGCTCAGCTGTTGCATCACAAGCTTGAGCTGATGCTTAAGTCCCTGATCCTCTTTCAGAGCTGTTTGTTGTGCCAAAATATGGAGCCGTTAAGAGGAACAGAGAAAACGCGGAGCCCGCCCGAAAGCCCAACAACGCAAAGTGGAAGGCAGCGTAGCCAGGTTTTTTGCAACGTGACTGGTGGAGGGGCAGGAAGAGGTCTGGGTATCTTACAGCACCGTCTGTGGCAAGAGCTTGTACCCTCAGGGCTTTTATGTGCTTTTGTGAAAAGATTTAAGAGCAGGAGGCTCAGTGGGAAACATTGGCTGGTGACGAGGAAACAGAGAGGACCTTGTTCTAGTGACCTGCCTGGAGCTGACAAGGGAAGTTGTTTTCATCTTGTGGACCTTGGACCTCTGGGGAGTTGAGGACTGCTTCTTGGAGGGGGGTGTTGGTGAACAAGGAAGACCCAGCCTGGGGGACAGGGGTTTGGGGTTGCTGGGGAAAAGCTGTGGAGCAACTTGGTTGAGAACAGCAAGTGAATGAATGCCTGCAGCGCTCTGTCACCCTTGCTGCTGCTTCTCATTCTCCCAGAGCTTCGCATCTGGGGTTTATCACGGTGCTTAGGCTGATTTGGGGTGTTTCTGAGGGGGTTTGAATAGGAAAAAGCCCAATTCACTGCTGTGACTGCCTCATAATCAGAGCTAACAACGGTGTTGTCAGCCATGGCAGGACCAGGCACAACCCCATGGGGTTTACCTTCTCCTCTCCACTTTCCAGTTCGTGGGTCTCTTCTTAAACCAACGTTCTTCAGCAGCTTTATTTTGCTCATCATTTACTGCTTTTTGCTTGGGAGCATCTAGAATGAAACCCTTTCCTTCATGTCCCTGCTCCTCCTCTGGGTTTAAATGGCTTTACGGGTCCTGCAGGCTTTGCCCATCACCGGTTAATTTGTAGTCAGTCCGGTTTGGAACGAAACACCTATTTTGATGGTTCCATGAGCTGCCTTCCCTGTAGCCCTCTGCTTAGTTTTTGATCCCTCGCTATAGTCACAGGTTCCCCCAGGGCCTCTGAGGTGAAGCAGTTCAGGAAACCGGAAGAAAAGGCTTTGGCCAGGGGTGTTTATAAAAGATCCAGTCCTAAATCAGATTAGGAATGGTTTAAGCATGCCAGGGAAGGTTGGCCTCTCTGAATCTAGAAATCCACCACTGCAGCAGGGGTGAGGGGGTCATGCCTGCCTTACCACGTGCTCCAACCACCTTGTTAGTGGCACCCAGGGGCTGTGGCTTGTCCTTCTGCCTTACCTTTGATTCCTTTACGTAAGAGGGTTTTCTCTATTTAAAAGGAATATACACACACACATTGGGTGCCATTGCTGCTGAATGGATAATCGCCCGGGACATGGTTATTTACCTGCCCTGAAACCCCCCACCCCCCCCATAGGGGCCAAGTTGTTCCCTTTACACATCAGTAGGACTCATTTCAGCCTAGATAAATCTGGCTCCCAGCTATTCCTATCGTCGAGGCTTTGTCTTGTGGCTGCTCACCTAATGGCATTAGTCTTCCTTAGATGTCTTCTTCTTGTACCTCAGCAGTGGCCTCTAACCCAGCACTTCCCTACTTCAACAAGCAGCATCATGTGCCACTGCCCTGGCTTTAGCACCCACCAAAGATACTCCAGACAGAGGTGGTCAGAGCCGGTGTCCCACTGCTTTGGCAGCGCTCGAAGGAGGTATTGCTGGGCACGCAGCACTACTCCCATGCTGGCTGCAGCAGGAGGCAGCCCAGATGATAGCTATGAATTACACCACCTCCTAAACCTACTGCCAGCTAGACTGGTGCTATCCCGACCATGGAAGTGGGGCAGAGGAAACACACCAGACCAAAGTGTACCAGATCTGATTACAAAGAGTCTCTAATTGTTTGTGTTTTGTATTGTGACAATGCAGAAGGAAAAGGAGAGTCCTTGGCAGCCTCTTCAAAAGGCTTTCTCCAGGGCTGGTTTGGAAGTGAGGAAAGAAGATTTTTTTTTTTTTTTTTTTTTTTCTTTTTGGTGTTTGGGCTGTTCTGAGCCTGTGTTGTACCAGCATGGGTGCAGAATGCAAGTAGACGTATCACTGGGTAGGTATGTGGACATATGTACATAAGGACCAACTATTCTTACCCCTCTCACTTCTTACGTCTGCTCTTCTCTCAACTTTCTCCACCCCATATCCCACCTACCCTCCCACGCTGATGCACATGCAAACAAGGCAAGTTTCATACGTCCCTGTTCCTCTGCCCTGGCTAAAACCTGTCCCTCTCCACCATCTGGTCAGCGTTGCAGCCATCTCGTGCCAACACCTCCCCATCCCCCTCGGGACATCCACCTCCCTCCCCGCTCTGCTCCTCTGCCACATGGTTGGCCTCCTCGCTGGCTGCCACCACGGCATTGTCGGTGCTGTGGGCCGGCTGGTGGTTGTCGCTGCTGTGCTCCTCAGCTTCCTGCACGTCGGACTCTGCTTCCTCGGTGTCGCTCCCACCACCCACAGAGGGGTTCTTCTCCGGGGGAGGTTCCTTCTTCTTCCCTCGGTTCAGGCAGCAGTAGGTGGCCATGGCCAAGAAGAGAGCAGAAAGCACCACCTCTGAGCCTGCCAGGTAGAAGATCACCTCGTAGTTCTTGAGAGCATCAACCAAGCGGCCTAATGGTTGGAGAAGGAACAAGACAGTTAGCCTCAGCTACGTACTCCTGCATGGACAGCCCAGCACAGGTGGGCAGCACCTGCATTTGAATGAGGACCCATTTCTCAAAGCAAGAGCAAGAAGCCTGAATATCTAAAAATCACCCTGGGCAAGAGCCACACTGTCCCACCAGGGAAAGTACTGTAAGAGTGTGGGGTTGGTGTTTTGTCTTGTTTGGATGAGGTTAAATAATTGTGACACACTGATGTTATGGTCTCACATCATGGGGGGTCATCTTCTTCCTGCCAAGGTGAGACAAGCCTCTGAGGACTTGGCTTGTCCAGTCTCAGAAAAGAAACAAAATTTGAGAGGCATTGCTATTTCTTAAGATAGCATGTCAGGAAAACATTCACAGGGGGAGAAGAAACTTATCTTTGGCAGAGAAATCACTTTGGTTGGCCCACACCTGATGATTTCTCTGCCAAAGTGATGTTCTCAATGTATCTTCTGAACACCCCAGGGCCAGCAATGGAGGGAGGGTTCCCAGCCCTCAGCGCTGGAGAGCCTGAGCAGCTGTGCTGCTGTGGGTAGGATGGGGCCACAGTGACCAGAGGCTTCATCCCACTCCCCCGTGCTCCTGACTGCGCATGTGACCCCTGGTCCCTGCCTGAAACCAGCCCCAGGGCCCACTGAGGTGCTGAGGTGCCTCCCCGAGCAGTCATGGGAGGCACGCGGCAAATTCCTCCGCGGGCAAATGTGCCCCCGTTCACCCAAGCCAGACAGCGAGCGAGAAGCCTGCGTGCACGCACGGGCACACGCGCATGTGTGTGTGTGTGTGTGTGTGCAGCTTATCCTGTGCCAAACCCCCTCAGCCCCACAGAGCGGGAAGCAGCTCAGGAGGATTACACTAAACAAAGCCACTTTGTTCAACCCCCTTCTTCCAGCCAAGCAACACTCCCCCGAGTCCAAGCCGTGGGGTTTGCCAGCACACTT